CCAATCGCGATGCGCGGAGCGGTGGAGGAGGCGGGAGCCCGCGCGCAGTGGCTGAGGAGGCGCGCGGCGGGAAACGGTGGCGCGCGAGCCGTGGCGTCCTGAGCTGGAGCCGGGAGCCCCGCATCCGCCCCGGAGCCTTCAGCGCCGCTTCAGACCCGATTGGTTCCTTCAGCGCCGCTTCAGACCCGATTGATTCCTTCAGCGCCGCTTCAGACCCGACTGGTTCCTTCAGCGCCGCTTCAGACCCGATTGATTCCTTCAGCGCCGCCTCAGACCTGATTGATTACTTCAGCGCCGCCTCAGATCTGGTTGATTCCTTCAGCGCCGCCACACCGGGCGCGGGCGCTCCTGCGTGCCTGGAGCGAGGTGCAGCCTCTCGGGAAGTCGCTGTGCGTGCTGAGTTTTGTTTGGTGTTGGTTTCCGCGTGAGTCTCTTACTGGCGCTGATAAGTCATAAGCTTATGGAGCAAAATGTACTCTTTTTTTTTTTCCCCCCCCTTTTGAATGGCACCATGTAATAAGTGCTTAGTTCTACCGGTTTATATTTAGGTGTGTTGCTACAGCCTTCCGATGGGGGTAAAACCAGTTGTCAAGAGATACGAAACAAGAAATAAGACGGAAGTGCCATCATCCAAATCCCGAGTCGATTGGAGACGCACTAGAAGGGCGCTCATACTGCTTGACAGCAATGACGAATCCTCAGCCACCTCTGAGGAGGAGTCTACCACATCAGAAAGTGAAATAGATGAGAAAAATCAAGCGGCTGTGAAGAACAACCTTTCAGATCAGGAGGAGAAAGGCCGGAGTGGGGAAGTAACAAAAGATGGTGACGATGAGTGCGTTGTGCCTGGGAAGCGTAACAAGTTGAGCGCCTCTGTCATGTATGACAGTGATGAAAGCGAGGGCAGTGACATACTTGTTAGAAAGGTTTCTGCCAAACGCCGCTGTATATTGGATGACGATGAGAGTTCTAAAGAACAGCAGACTGATAAAACATGCCCTACAGAGAATGTTTCTACTAGTAAGAAACAGAAAGTGCTCGAAAAATTGAAAGAACTTGTAAAACAAAGCGCAGCTCGGAGATCCTGCAGCACTGCAAATTGTGAGGTCAGGGTTTTGTCTTTGAAATTTAATTGGAGCAAGTATTTAATGTGAGGAAAGGTTAAGCAATACAAACTAGTGGGATTTTTTGGGTTTGAATGCATGACAAATTAGAAGTTCTGTAATATTTTAACAGTCACATTAACTGGTGAAAATCTATCAAATTAATTTTATCAGGAAGCAGAATACCTGCCGAAGTGTCTTGGAGATTTCATGTTAGCTTAATTCCTAGAAGTAGACTGAAAAGAGGTACATGGAAATAGCTATTTTAAAGCTGAAAGTAATTGCTATCTAGTACAAAATTATATATATTTTTTTGGAAATGTGTGCTTTCCTGTTAATTGAACAAATGGTGTTATTAGATGGTCAAAAATCTTAGCTGGTGTATGTAGTATTTTGTCTGTGCAAATACTGAAAATACTTGTATTCTAAAAACTTTTAAATTTTTAAATTTAATTAGGATTCTAATAGTGAAGAAACAATGGAAGAGGAACCACTCTGTCAGCTGCCCCTCACACCATCAGAAGGTAGTGAAACTGATGGTGACAGCTTAAAGGATTTTGTAGTAGAGGAAGACAGTGATGATGATGACATTGGCAACCCAGAGCATGTGAAGAGTCAAAATCAGCCACATCAAAAGCAACCAAATCCATCAAACAGCGAGCTGCTAGCACACTACATCCCACAGTGTAAGATCAAAATTAGTGGTAATTCTTCATGTATAACTAGCTTGTAGAATTGTAATAAAATTTAATGGGCTAAATACAAATATTAAGGAATAGAATATGATACTTAAAATCAGATCCCTAAAAGGTTTCAATTTATTATGAAGGCATTTTGATTTCCACAGTAAATTTCTACAGTCTTTCGGTATCAAATTAAAGGGAGGGTATAAGGTGCACAATTATTTTTTTTCAGTTGGTGTGATTTGGGATGAAGTAGGCTGCCTATGATGCATTCATTCCTGTGGAGACCTGAAAGCATCATCCTTCATCCTACAATCTTGTGGTTTATGCTAAGACCAGCTATGTTAATCTGTCCAAATTCTGTTCTCGCTGAGTTTGGGGCTTGGGATTTTATTTCTTGGATTTTTTTTTTTTTTGGTTGGTTGGTTTTTTTTTATGTTTTGGGGTTTTTTTTATGTATTTTTATTCTGTGGTGGTAAGACTTGTGACCAGAGGTCTAGAGGGGTTTCTGATTCCACTGGCCAGTCTCGGCTGAATTACACAGAGCAAGAAAACTCTTCAAGGTGTTCTTTTATGAAAACCAATTTCTGGATGGAGCAGAGAGATTTGAAGCAGGATCTTATGCAAATCTTTTTTTCTTCCATATTAGAAAGAAAAGAAATGAACACAAGAAACAAAATGCAAGCAAAAAACCCATGACCACAGCATAAGCCTGGGCCTTCTCTGATTTACATTATTTTCTGCTATTTGTAGAACAAATGATTCACTTCTCTTTGTGTTTGTACTTCTTATTGTGGACTCCTCTTGCTGGAAGTGCATGTAGCTTTAGGGTGCTAAAATTCTGTATGATCCCTGGGATGAGAAGCACAATTTAAAGGCAAAATCCTATGGGTGTGGGTATTTTAATTTATATTAAAATAATTTCTAAATCTATATTTAAATAACTTTAAAATTCTAAACTTACAATGGAGAAAAAGAATTCTTCTTACAGGACTTCTAACATGGCTTTTTTTTTTTTTTCTGATTTTTTTCCTTTTGGTAAATTTTGGTTGTATTGCTTTCTTCCCAGTATCTCGCTGTGATCATTATGTACACTTCAAAAGAATAGTAAAGGCTTTCCTCATAAATGCAATTGATGACACTTTTCTGAGCTCATTATATGGTAAGTAAATTGCATTAAGTAATATATTCATGCATTCAGAGTTGTACAAAGCCATTTATTGTAGGGAAGGGTGTTTCTCCTGATTAGGGTATAGAACTGAGGGTCCTGAAATCTGTGGTTTTCCTGCTATATAACTTTGGTGGGGGAGAGCAGAGGGGACTATCTGAAAATGATACAGTGATCTTGGAAAAATGTGTAGACTTAATTCTTGAGCACAGAAGGCTTAAATGCCTTCTTCAGATGTAGGAATGTGTTTCTGTGTTACTAATCAGTAGTAATCTTTCTAGCATGAAATCCAAATTAATTTCAAAGCAGATATCTCAATGAAAACATTGCAAGGTCAGCTGGTTTGTCAAAATCTCTTGTGCTTCACAGTTTTTTTTCTTAGGAATTTGATAGATAATAAATGCTTTTAGTTATGGAGATGACTGTACATCATATTTTTTTTTCCTTTTTTTTTTTTTTTTTTAATCACATCAGATAAATAAGCTTCAGCTCAGTCAGTACTTGTCTTATTCCTTCTGAGGAAGTGCTTTTTGGCATTTGGCCTAGCAGGGCTGAATAACAGCCTCACACATAGTTTCATAAGCACTATAAAGATGGGATTAAGGAGAGGACTCTCAGTGTCAGACTGTGGAAGGAGTCAGTAAAGTGCCAAGGTTTTGATGTCATCAGGAATTAAGAGGGAATGGAGAAACTGAAGTACACCACAGACCTCAGAATAAAGGTTCTATACTCTTGGACCTAAAAATATCTTTCCTCTACTGCTGCTGGTTCTTTCAGGTGTTCGGTTTGTTTTGTTTCAACAAGTAAAAGCAAGCCTTTGAAAAGTAGTAAGTAAACACTGCCAGATTAATGTTGTAATAACTTCCTTCTATTTCAAATTGTATCTGCTCAATAAAATGTAACAATTTATTGCTAAACTGCTGGAAGTAAATGAGTTCTGCGGGTGAGCTGAAGGTTGTACATGAACATTGTATGAACAAAGAGTAGCATTACAAAAATATATTTTTATAATGTAGAGTGGATTGTTCTGAGTTAATTGAAGTGAATCTCTTCATTTGTTTTGACTCAAAAGCAGCTACTGTAGTATTTGAGTTCACACTTGCTTTTTATTGGGTAGGATTTTGTTTTGTGGTCTAGCACAGCCTCTTCAAGCTCCTACTGCAAATGTGTGTGTAAAGTGAATATGGAAAAACAGTTAATTGCAATTATGGTTGCTAAAATGACCGTTAACTACTTTAAAAAGTTAGATAGACAGTGGTCCTTCTCAGGTCTATTTTTTTTTTTTTTTTGGTAATAGCTAGCTGAAATAAGTTTTATGTCTGTACACACTGAAGTTCCAGGGCAGTATGCATTGGCCTGCATCTAGGGAAGTCCTGTTTAATTCCTGGAGTCCAGCATGTATTTGGGAAACAGTAACAGTGGTAATTTTACTCATCCTCATGCTTTTTTATTTATTTTGCTTGAGTAAGTATTTAGAAGTACATATGCTGCCTAATTCAAGGCATCTGACTGTGCTACTGAAGGTCAGCTTCTCTGTGATCTTTATGTGACAGAGTTGTCAAAATTTCTGCTCTGAAGTAGCTCAGAGCAGTTTGTTTTCATGGATTCCAACACTTTTCTTTTACATTTTGAACAACTTCAATGAATTGGTTGAACAGCATGACTTTCCCCCACATGCTTCCTCCTTTTCTATTAAGTGGGACTGAGTGAATTGATCTCCATTTGGGATGAGAGCTTTTGATTTGATTGTAGGGTTTATTCATGTACCCCTTTTGAATTATAAAATACATCCCTTTATGAAGATGTAGGGATTGCATGGATCACTTTTATGGGTAACAGTAGCAAATGTATTTGCAACTACACATATATGCTACTATACCTATATACATATGCTATAAATAACAATTTAGTAAAATCATTCATAGTTCTTAGTATGCAGAAGCATATTGTCCTTGAAAATTTTATCTAAAAAACTTGTACAATATAGGGTGGTCAGCAGATTAGTAATGATTCTCACTGAACAGATGGAACCAGAAAAAAGAAGTATGCTCAAGATATACTGCTCTCACTTCATTATTTGGATGACCGCTTCATTCAGCCTCGTCTTGAGAACTTAATCTGTAGAAGTCGCTGGAAAGATCGATACAAGGTGTGTAGATTCTACTTCAAATGCTGAAATTCTCTGTAAAGGTGCAACAATCACTTTAATTGTATATCCTTTTTAATAACAACTATTGTTCTTTAACTTAAATAATTTGTTTTGATGCTTTTGTAAATATCAGAAATATTTTACATGTTGATAACCAGACAAATATTCAGGTAGCAGAACAGAATTTGTTCTCAGCTACCTGAATGTGTCTCCTGCTAACTTCAACAGATGATGTTTGAGAATTTTTTTTGTCACTTGCTAAATGTTCTAACAAAACTTTGTCTTCTTCCCATAAAAAGGTAAACAGTATGTTCATCATGAACCTTCTACTACTACTACAAAAAATTAAGTCACTATAGAGCAATTACCTACTGTATGTATATTACTAGAAGAGTATTAGTATCATGGGTGTGATGATTTAATAATCATTGTAATAATGAAATTTGGCTCTCTTTCATTTTTCTTGGACTAATTTTGTGTGAGTACAGAGTGCTCAGCAGCCTGCTTGAGGCATCATTCAGTTCACAGAGATTCTTTAATGTTATTTGGAATGTGTTTTTCAGGAGCGTGTGGATTGTTACCCAGATGTTCGCATAAGCTTGAAAAGTACAAAAAATATGTCTTGTCAGGCCTGTGAATTGAAGCGGTGTTGTCGGTTCAATGTGTTGCTCTCTGGAAGGCTTTATAATAGTAAAACTATGGAAGTGGATGACTTCATGTCAGATGATAAACAGGTAATTTCAAACCAGCTCTCTATTTTTAAGTTTCATTTTTAAGTTTTTCTTTTATCAAGAAAATAAATCTGGGTTTTTTTTTTTTGACCTTTGGTTTTGCCTGCATCACAATGACCTGTGTGCTGTTTCCTCTTCACATCTACCCCTTAATGAAAAAGCCTTTTACCTTTATGTATGCCTGTAATGCCCTTAAGACTTCCCCAGCAGGAATCTTGCATTGTTTAGTGGTCAGAAACATTGTAAAAGTAACTTTCTGTATGACTTACAATCATTGCTATTGAATGATTGTGTTTTTTGTTTTGCTGCAAGTAAGATTTGTTCAACATTGCATCACTAGGTTTGCTAATTCTGTGCCTGCTCTGCCTCTAACAGAGGGTTGGAGGGTCCACGTGCACTCCAACAGTTCTTGTTTGCTCTAGGTTCAAACATTGAGTGAAACAGTGCAATGGTCATCCTAGCAGTCCAAGTGTGACCTTACTTAATTTAGCAGAATTTACTGCTTCGTTCTTCAGATTTATTTTTTTCATAGCTACTATTTCCCACGTAGCTCTTCACTCAGGACAAATTATCTTGGCATCTCAGATGCGTTGACACTTGAAGCTGCTGATCTCCTTTCAAGAAAACTTGTTCCTACCTACATCAATACATTTTATTAGAGCCTTTTCCCCATTACTGCAGTATCGGAATTACTTGTCCAAACTAGAGGGCACTTCCATTTAGGTAGTCTTGCATCTATTTCTCTCTCAGTTGTCACTTCTAGAATATTTGGATTAATTTTTTTTTGGTTTTTTTTTTTTACTAAAAGGTATTTTTCATGTTGTTACATAATGTTCCATTAAGCAGTCATTTTCACCTAAAATAATTTAATAATAGGCTAATACAATTTTATTTCGCAGCTGAGCCTTTTGAAAACTTTGACTTTCAAGAACCTAGGTGTTTCTAATATTTAGACATCTTCTCTTCAAATTTACAGCTACATATAATTGTTATGATTAGGTATGCATATGACCTTCAGTAATGCAATTCATGACCTCTTATGATAAATTCAAACACGTGATTTGTCAAGAATGAAATATTGCTACAGTTGTTTACCAACTGATACCCAAGTTCTGTCTTTCTTCCCTTTCAGGAGACACAGATGGTATTTTATTTGTGAGTGTAAAAGAATTTTTGAACACAGCTAAAGTTCTTCACAGTATTTTCTGAAAATAAAGAAGTTTCAGAACAAGGGTTTTTTTCAGTATATTTTATAGTGAGGTACAATAGGATTTCTTCAGTAAAAATAAAGTGAAGCCATTGTCAAACAGGGAGCTCCAATGAATTGTTTGGATATTTGCAAATTCCTTAACTTACAGATTTGAGAGGTGTCACTGTGATTATCATTTTGTCATCATGCAGGGCTCTGTATGTAATGCAAGAGATTGAAAATCTGTGCCAGAGTTTTTCTTATATTACAGACCCTTCTGAGCAGCAGTTGCTGATACTCTGTTTTGAAAAGTATGTTTGTGCATGATAGTCAAGAAAGCATTTCCAGCAATGCTTTTTCCCTTTTTGATCCTGTTTTTTGCAGGAAAACAGTAAGTCCTCTGCAATCATCCCAGCACTGATATTGCAGTCTGTCATAGTCATTCTTCTTACATACAGATCACTAATTTAAAAATACTCAGTATTTCAATGGGAAGTGTGTGCCTTACTTCACCAGAAATAATTAGTGAACTAGCACAAGAATTTAATCTTTACCTAACTTTCAGCTTAACTGTGGAAATAACAGTAGCAGTTCCCTCACTGCTGACCAAATGTTGTCCTGCATAAAGTGTTAGCTATTTTTTACTTTGGAAAAACTTGAAATATCCTATGGAATACTGAACTAACTTGCTAGTTCATTTTTGTCCTCTTCAGCTTAGCAGTACAAAATGAGAGCTTTTTTTACCCTGTGGACACCAGCATCTGGGGACGTCTGCTATGTGCCTGCTCAGTATAGCTCAGTGGCTGTTAAGCAGACTCAGGGGAGAGAGTAATTGAGCACTTTCCAGTCATTTTTGATAGTGTCTTGTAATGAAGCATTTGTGTTCTTAGGGTGACCTGTAGTTTAGACTGCTAAAAGTACTGTTCTCAAGTTGTCTTTAAAGCTCTGCTGGCAATGCATTGAGCAACTTGTCCTGCCAATTTAGAAAAAAAATATATAAAAGAAAAAAAGGCTCACGGAGCTACATAAAACTGCCATTTCACAAGCTTAATTGACTGATAGAGAAGGCAGTTCAGCACTGACAGATCAAATTGAACAGAAACACATAGTTGGACTATTTTCTATAGATTTGTTTGAAAATACTCGAGAAAAGTGGATGTGAAGAGAACAAAAACAGACCTCCAACCTCCTTCTTCTGCATAAAACTTTCCTTTTCTCTCATCTCTGAAGTATTCTGCTTTGCCAGTAGAAAGAGAAGAGAAACAGCTGTTCCAATTTTGCTTAGGCTTGCAGTGATTATTCACTGTGTAGGTGCCAATTCTCATTTCCCCCTGAGCAGGGAGAATCACAAGGTTTAGAGATGTGTCCCCCACACTTACTTCCTTGCTCCTTACATCACCTGGATTATAAACTGTTTTCTACTCTCAGTCTTGGTGTTCTGTTTATAAACATGCTTAGAGGACATGGATTCAGTCACTACATGTTGTGCTATTGTCCAACCATGCTCCTGCATTCCATACAAAGTGATTTAACACAACTTTGGCTGATAGGGCCAGCTTGAGTAGATAAGTTAAGCATTAACACAGAGGGACTGAGAACTGTGAGGGGGAAAAAATTAGAGTGAGTACAGTACTGAGATTCTTTCCAAAGCTGCATTCTGAAATAGCATTGTATTTTTAGACTATCTTTCTTGCTTAAAAACACAATACATAGTTACATTTATACGATATTTAGCTATTTGCCTTTGGCATTTCTCCACATCACACATAAATAAGCTATGAAACTCACTGCCACAGGATATTTTGGAAGGGAAAAATAGTATTGGGTCCCAAAACAGATTAGACAGGTTCTTGGGGAAAGTTCTTTCACGCTTTGGAACATAATATTTGGGATGATACAGACTGTCTTAACTCTTGACTGCCAGAAAATGTGTGGTAATCTTATGATCATTCTAATGTTTGTGCTGGATCTTAGGCTAACTTTCTACATATCTCCTGCTAGCTGTTGTCACAGGGGAGAAAACTGGGCCATCAGTTTGATGCAAGATGGTATCTCCTATTTTATATCACATAATGTTCCAAATGCCACACCTCATTGCTTGGGATGCTTGAAAAGTTGTGCAATGCTCTACAAAGCACTGCAGCTCAGTTCTTCATCGCTGCAGTATTTGAAATGGTGCTTCTGGAAATTTGAATTAATCAAGACTCAGCATTAGTTTGTAGGTCTTGCACTTCAGAAGCACTGGCAGCACCAAACACAAGCCTTAGCTTTTTAGTTTTGGGAATACTAGAAAGTGGAGCTGTATATAGGTACAACATGTACATGATCAGTAGAGAATTAAAATATAGTAATATGCATTTTTTATCTCAAAATGTTTAAAATATCAGTTAATAATCAGGTCAGATCAAAAGTTCTTTTCAGTGTGTGTGTCTCTTTTGACTTAACTGATACTATGCCTGGTGATAACCACTGAGCTGCTGGTTAATATATTTAAGAGGCTAAGATATGTTCATATAGTTAAGAAAATGTATAACTAATACCTGTAAATTCTGTTAACATAATCTTTAAAAATACACTTTTCTGTTAATTTCATTGTTGGCAGATAGAGCTAGTGCTGGATTGCAGTAGTAGGTCAGGTGTTTTGGGGAACTGCTCACAGATGCAAACATTTGGTCATGCATTCAGAAAAGCTCCCTGAAAATGTGGGTTGTAAGCATTAATTAAAACTTAACCTTCTTGTAATTTGAGAGTATTCAGATTATTAGCAATAAAAGGTACCACTTTTATGGCTCAGAAGAAATAGTTTTACAACTTAAAATTTGGTTGATTAACATATATATATATATATATGTTTGTGCGTGTAATGTAAAACAGCAATGCAACTGCATCTTGCATTCCAAATGCAGAGGACTTTAGCCATTTACATATTTGTTGTGGAAAGGTGTGACAAGACATCAGTCCAAAAGTGTTGTCCTTGGAGGATAAGTTGATGAGAGTTTGGTTGGGTTTTCCGTTATTGTTGTTTGGTTTTTTTAAGAAAAACAGAATCAATTTCTTTACATATGTGTAAGTTACGTTGCTTTTTAGAAAACCTGACTTCCAAAATCAGCCAGATGTAGATTTCTTACCTGGTAGGCTTTGTCTCCATGAGTTGAAGTAGTAATCAGTGCACCTATGGGTCATTTACAGAGGATAGACTCTTCTTCTGACTTGCTATTGTACCTGCACTCTCTTGTGAAATGCAGGATGTCCATAAAGGCAGGTGAAAACTGAGTCTTGTTCCCTCCCTGCATCTCCATTGTCACATATTCTTAGTGAGCACTTAGGATAGCCAAAGTTCCTTGTAAACAATATATTACTCACTATTTTCATGGTAGTGCTGATAGATTATACCAAATCTATTCTAATCCATGTTCTGATTATCTAGTAACAGGCACATTTTACCATTTGTTTACCTATAAATGCTGCTGTGAAAAAACTGTGAAATAAGACAATTCCATTTTTTCTGCATGGAAATCATAGGAGTAAAACTGGTAATAACTGGGAGATTCAGAGGCTTTATTTCTGCAGCATCATAGCTTAGCTATTCCTTCCAGACAGTTACAGATTAATGTTTGTATTGTATAAAACTTAACATTCAGATTTTATTTTTTTTGAAATTCAACCTCTCCATTTATTAAGTGCTGTGAGGCGTATGCCAATATGTGTTTATATGTGTTTCTTGAACAAATGATGACTATTATTTTCTACAAAATGTTAAAACTGGTATTTCATCTCCCTAGGAAGTACTTACATATTAAGCAAAAGCAAATAATTCCTCTTCCTCTGCTTTCACAATAAGATGGTTGTCTGAAAGTGTTAGTGATTTTGTAACAAAACTCCACCAGAAGATAGGAAAGATACAACCAATTACAAACATGATTGTGTTTGCAAGAAGACCGCACTGATAAGCTGCCATTGCTTGGACTTGCTGGCTGCCTGCTTGCTCAAAAAGCTGTGGCTGTGAAAACTACATAGGTTTGTGTCAGTTTTATGCATGTAGTGTCATTCTGTTTATTTCATTATTCAAAAAAAAATTCCTGGACTGACTGTTTAAACTGTACGAGATTAGCCCACCAATTCTGTATATTGCAAAGATAATCATGGTTCTATCCATGGGAATCATTTGTTCATTCTGGCCTAGGTTTTGAAGGTTGGCATAGTGTGTGCAAATCGTACAAGAGTTTATCACAACCTGAAACACTTCAAGTACAAGTTATACATGGATTGCAGCTCAGTTGCTGGATTGGATGGTGTAGAGGATGAACCTGTCAAAGACACTGTAGAGCGGCTTCTCAACCACTTGGAAGAGAGTGGGTGGATTCAGAAGGTATGACTGGGTTATTCCCTGTATTCTTTTCCAAACAGATGAAAGTACGTTCAGATAAAATGTCTGATTTAATGGATCAGTTCTGAGTTACCGGCTGTCAATAACACAACTCAGCTCAACCATTCTCCCATTTCTGCTGACCCAGTTTTTCAAACAGTGTTGTGCTGCTCTGCTCACACAGTTTGCATCAGCTTTTGACATGAAGCTTTTTGACAGCTGCATGATCTCTAGGCTGTGGTGGGCAGGCCCTTGTTTCATTTGAAAGCAGCAACAACAGCAAACTTGAGCTGTAACTTAGAAAGATGGGAAGGATGTACACGAGGCACAGCAAGAGTATTTTAAAATTCTGTTTACACTGAAGACCTTTGAATTGTTCAGAACAACTTCATGAAGTATTTTAAGACAATTTGTAGTACAATTGCATTTAGTATGCTTTTAGATATAGCTTCTAAATCATTATTGACATACTTGGTCATGTGTTGAACAAGAAAAAGCAGTCTTTACATAATACAGTTAGTAAATATTGATAAATTGTAAAAATTTTATTTCATTCACAGAAATATGATGGTCTTGAAGATTACATGGAAGATGCAGATAATTTTCAAGAAGAGAAAATTGATTAAGAGGTCATAGAGCTCTTTGGAAGACATCTTCAAAAATGTGAATGGCCTGCTTCGTGTGTATGCACTTTATGTCTGCCTGGACTTCAAGATTTCTTTGTAGGCTGTTAACACCCAAATTCATATGCCTTTAAATTACTGATAATGTGCTGTATCTTTTTTTATTATCTGTGTCAATATAAACCCAAAGTTTTACCAAATCAGTCCTTACAGTCTTACTGCATTAATCACTAAGTTTTCTACTATTAGAAATATCAGTTCAATATCTATTTACTTGTGAACTAAAACTTCCACCTATTTAGATTGACCTGCATTGAAGGGAACATAGAAGATCTTTTGAAGTGGGTATATTTGGAAAGGTAAGGCTTTGTTATACAAGAACTTAGGACTTGCATCTTACCTTCCTTACTGCTCATGTGCAAGTAAGTTCAGTCAGTTAGAATGATAGTTACAGCAAACAGGACCCAAATACAAAGATCTACTTCTCCAGTGAGGAATCAGTACAGACAGTTGCAAGGCAACAGAGGAAATATTCTGCAGTCCTGACTGCATTTGCAGCACAGTAGTCATTCCTCTTGAGAAAGTAGGTGATGAGTCACAGTATGGGCGTCATACAGACTGAGTCTGGCTTAGCCATCTAAATGAACACATGGGCCCACATTGCTGTCTTTGATAAGCAGCTGGGACAATTTACTGAGATTTTAAACATCAGGTTACATTGTGCAAACATAATGGCAGCAAATTGGAGTAACTGCAGTCCTAAGAGATTGGATTAATATGCCCATGCAAGATACGCAAGAATTCTCCTGGTGTAACTTAACAGAAAGTAGGAGTTAGTCAGAAACAGGATGCATGGCGTACCAGAATTACACAAAACCCAAATCAGAGTAGATTTTCAAGGATTTAGGAAGGGTTAAGTATGCTACTGTCCATTCTGAAAAATTGGACAAGAACCGTAAACATGTACTTGAAGCCCAGAAAGGTAACTGTGTCCTGGGCTGTATCCAAAACAGCATGGCCAGCAGGCTGAGGAAGGTGATTCTACCATTCTACTCTTATGAAACCCCTACCTGCAGTGCTGCGTCCAGCTCTAGGGTCCCAGCACAGGAAACACCGGGTGTGCTGGAGCAAATCCAGAGGAGGGTCACTAAATTGATCTAAGTGCTGGCTGTAGATAAGCTGAGAGAGTTGGGGTTGTTAAGTCTGGAGAAGGGAAGGCTCTGGGAGACCTTGCAACCTTTAAGTATTTAAAGGGGGCCTACAAGGAAGATGAAGAGGCTTTTTACCAAGGCCTGTAGTTTTACTAAGTGCTAACAGGACAGCAAGTTTTAAACTACAGCAAGTTTTAAACTCGAGAGATATGCCTGGCCATTATGATCCTTAAAGGTCCCTTCCAACCCAAATTATTCAGTGTTTCTATCCATGTATTTTGGGCTGCATATAAAAAGAATTAGATAGAGCTTAAGATAAAATGCAGGACACAGCATTTTGAAACCTTCATGTTGCTGAATGCCCTATTAGGTTTTTTTTGGCTTAACAACTTACTGAAAGATACTGTTAACACTCTGAATCCTTTTAACAGGTTACTCTCTCAGCAGCAAAACTAATGGAACCTGATTTCTCATAGGCTTGTCCTTAAGAAGTCACTACATTTATTTTGCCACTTTACTGGGAATAGATAGGCTGATTGTGTAGGCACCTGCTGCCAGGTATATTGCTTGACAGTGAACATCTGCTGCCTTTTTTACATAGAGACTGTACCTTAGATTCATCATTCACTACCCTTTTTTCAGCATTCATTTGAGAAATTAACTGCTTTTAGTTTGTTAAGGACTTGAAATTGAGCAATGTTTTAAATGCTATTAGGGTGAGTTAGTGGCATCAGTACTCCTTTGTACCACATACAGATACAAGATAGACAAAACCAAGATGAAAATTTCCAGTGAACAGATTGAGACTTGCTCTCAAGTAAACTTACATTGAAGATATTCTTTCCATGCCTTACCTGTTAGACACAAACTTCTGAGGTTTGGTATGTCTTATATTTATCTCCCCGGTTACCAAAGCTAAAGGTTTCCTTCTCTATTTCTTCTCCTCCCTCATCTCTGTTCCTCTGGGAATATTGGTGGAACACACCTATCAACTTAAAAATACTCAGGAATTCATCTTGAATATATCCATTTCAGTTATTGATACCTCAGTTCTTTCTGTTAAAAAAATCTCTGTATAGTTTGGTTTGCTTCTCTAGAACATACATTTGGTGTGACTTTATTCTTACAAAGGAAAACCATTCTGAAATGAGTTCTGTACCATGTAGTGGAGTATGTCCTCGTAGAGCCTTCCTGACTGATCCTAATTTTTGCTACTTTATGAATTTTCTGAAAACTCTCGAGACTACGATTTTGCTTAAAAATTTTGTTGTCAAAATGAATCTCTCATTTTGCTACATTAAAACAATTCACTACCAAAATAAAGAATAAGTTAGTGAAACTCTGGCTTGCTGATTAAGGTAATATTTCAAGAATAAATACAGTTTGATTGAAAATTGAAATGGTCCATTCTACTTACTTTTTGATATCCCAGGTTTCTCACCTCCTCTTCATTCACCGAAAAAGCATGTGCTATCTACAGCATTTTTTTTCCAGATCATATTTTTTTCTGTTGCTAGCAGAGATACAAAAGTATTCTGATGGAACTTCTTGGTAGAAAGTGCTTCCATAGGTTTACTGATCTTGGCTGTGGTATCAGCAGTGGGACCAAGAAAATGCCTTAAAGTGAAATCATTCTTCTGTTTCAGTAAGGAAGAGATATTTGATTTGGCAGGAGCTGATGTTTTTGTGTGTTAAACTCTGATATTCCCCTCACTGAGATGGGAGGAAGTGATAATATTTTTGTGGCTGCTGTTCTACCTGAAGCGTTTCTAAAAGACGTTCTAAAATGTGAAGTGTCATTACATCACTTTTACATTTATCTTCACCACAGGAAGTTAAATTGTTTAGAAGAGTAAATATGTAAAAATTTAGATCAGTTTTTCTAGTTCTGTCTGCAAATGCTAGTCCACCATGAAGCACAAAGAGCACTCTTACCCCTGAGATTTTCTATATATAGAAATAATCAATAAAAATATTTCCAGCAGGAAAAAAAAAATTGTGCAAATATCTAATGCTGGGAGAAGTTAGAAATCTAACCAGTCTTTCATGCTTTTTTTTCAAAATCAGAGAAGTTGAATGGAGCTAGGTGAGAGAATATTTTTTTTTTTTTCCAGTAGAATATTTTAAATTGTTTTTAGTGTTAATTTGTGAAGAAGTAGCTCTAATCAAGATAAAGTACCTGTCTTAATGGAACAATGAAGAGAGCTCAGTATGTGATTAGACTTTGAATAGGTGATTAATGATCATACTTGGAAATTATTTTAGTTCCTGCAATGTTTTGATAATCTGCTCTAGTTTAAGTTCTGTAACTGGAGACAGTGATAATGATGAAGTTCACACAAGGTATTTATGCACAGGATCAGGCTAAGACGATGGACTTTTGGGACAGGAGGTTCTTTTTGGTCTATATTCTGTCCAGTTCTTGCAGCAAAAAATGAAAAGAAACTATTTTTCTCCCTGTGTCCTTCAGTTTTTGAAAAGAAAGTTGTCTGCTAGTAGTAGATCGCTGTTACTGTCACTTTTTCAACAGTGAAGGCTTCTCCTGTTTCCAAAAAGCAGCTATTTTTAGCACTTCAGCAGGCAATTACAGGCAATTCCCATGCTTAACTCCTCTAGTTTACATTTATTTGGATAAATAAAGGCTTCTAGTTTTATGCTTTTTTAAATCTGTTTGGATAAACAGAGTGGACTAGTGTGCATGTTTGCTACACAAAAAATACAATACCATTCCAACCGAAATAACCAGCACACACAAAGTAGACTTTAAAAAGTTGCCTTTCTGATTCTGCTTTGAGAAGAAAGAAATACCAGTTTCTAATCTGTATTTAGAGGTAAGACAAAAGAATGTAAAAAAGTATGACTTACCAGCCAAAGAATAATATAAGAAATATGTGAAATTATATTTAAAAAACCCTGATAATAACCATCAGCGGCTCCACTTCCCTGAATAGTTGATGTGAATTTTGGTAATTGTCTGGGCAGTAAGTTGTGGCATGTGGTTGTTCAGGGTTCCTTCCCCTATTGTTTATTAAATAAACACAGTTTCCTTATTAATTATTATTAGTTAAAACAAAAACAAAAACCCACAGAAATGCTCTGTTCAAGATTGCTTACTTTATAGTTTAACAGAACAGCAATTACAAGCACCTTGTGCCCAAAATTTAAAGGCAAGAAAACTGACTCAGGTGCAGTCAGACTCTGCTTCAAAGTTTAACAATTTGCCAGGTGGGCAGCATCATACATGTTGTATGCTGGGAGTACCCCAGGAACTCAAAATGGCAAAGAACCCTCACTGAAAAGTAAATAATGGAAATGGCTGAAAATTCAAAGCTCCGAGTTGAGAAAGTCCTCTGTAGGAATGATACCAGGTATGTGCTCTTCGGTGGAGTTAATAGAACTTTGAAGCAATTTGATATGTGATTTCTAAACACGGATGAACAAGGCATGTGCTGAAACTGAAGCATGCACTCAAGATTTCAGGCGACACAGGTTCAGCACAGTCTTTTTGTTCCATTTTTGGATAGTTATTAGCACGATGGGATGTCTGTGGTGAGAATTCCTGGCTGTGAACCCGGCGCAAATAAGTGCTTTTCTCGTCTGGAGGGGGCTGCTGGTTTGGGAAACTCAGAGCTTCAAGAGCAGTAGGGTATTCACAGAGAAAAAAATGATCGAGCATGACAGTTCATACGAGATTACAACGTCAGGTAAAAAGGTAACAAATTAGTGTCAACAGAAGGAATAAAGTAATTAATTGTTCAAGAACCTGTAATGTTAATTGTTTCATCCTGACTTCACTTACGAGAACGCCACTAATCATAAGGGATGTTACAAGGTGTTAAGAACCGTTTGCTTTTAAGAAAACTGACAAGCAACCAGTCCAACACTGATGGCCGTATCCAGGGGCTGGTGACATTCGCCAGGCTCTTCTGAGCAAAACTTGGAAAGGCGAGGAATGGCTGTGGGGTATTTCCTGCTCGGAAACACCAGGGGCAGCATTTGCTGCGGATTGAGCGAGCGGGGCTCTGAGCGCAGCCCCGCAGCCGGCTGCT